CTGCGCGCGAGTCTTGAAACAGCCTCCTTAGCTGCTCTGACTCCAACGAACTTTTTAACTTTAAGCAATCACGGTTATGCAGTTAAGTGCACCATGACGAATAATCGCAAGTGGCTGCCCACACCTACCAAACGGGCCACAAATGTAACTTTGCAGTCACAAAGATAATCGCCCATGTCGGAAGCAGGGCACGCCGAGAGTTGACTGAAGTCTGGGGCCTTAGACGGGGACTCGGTCAATCGATATATCGATTTGGCTCCGGTATACAGAGACCTGCGTAACCATCTCCACGCCTGCGTCACTGATCCTTGATTGGCCCACACACACCCTCTATAACGTTCGCCCGTTCTTTTGCTGTTTTTATCGCTGACGCTGGACTCTTACACGAGTTCGAAAGCCCAGACATACAAATTGTTTCTGCGCACTACCAGTCTTCCTCCTCTTTTCCTATGCTATGACCAGTCCCATAGGCGCGCGAGCAAGTGGCTAAAGCTGGCACTAGTCCCTCGCGGATGACTGGTATTGAATCCATAGCTGGGTTCCCGTAACTGGATCAGGTTTAAACAGATCCGTTTTTAGTGCTGCCAGAAACAGTCACCAGTTTGCATAAAATGGCGTTAACATTTGAAAACAGACATACTTTGTGACGTCGGTAGTGGTAGAGGCTGGTAGGCTAGGATAGTTTTATCATCTACAAAATGTGGGCTAACTTATGAATGTCAACAGAAATTCCGAAATGCGTTTTCCTTTCGAAAAGATTGATTAAGTAGGGTTGTAAAACTAATCATCATACAGCATAATTCTATAATAATTCAGTTACCTAAGGATACCGGCTTTCGAATGAACTTCTTTCCGGCTGCATGCTAAAAACTATACTCTGCAATAATGACTACTTATGTAGCGTGCATTTCTCCCATTGATTTTCGATGCCCTTAAAAATTCAATTATATTTGATAGGAAACATGCATGCAAATATTCATTCATTTGCTTAATCGGTAGAAAATGACGTCTTCTTCCAATCTTATACTCGATGGAAGGGCATAATTCGGTTTTTAAAAAGTTTCTAGTTGTGAGATTTTGTAACGCCGTGAAATGGTCATTCGTAAAACGTCATGTCTCTGCATCTACCAATGTGGGTTATAAAGTTAACAATATTGCTCAAATCCACTGCTAAATTTTATGAACCGCATATAGTTTCCTCTTAATACCGTAGAGAAATGTAAGGTTTTCCGTGCGCGGAAAATATACGGCTTGCAGGTTGAAGACCCTGAATGCAAGTGTAACGGCAGGTCGGGTTCAAATTTATTTGGGCATTGGAAAAGTTTTTGAAAACCGGATTATACCTTTCCATCGAGTATAAAATTAGAAGAAGACGTCATTTTCTACCAACTGAGCATAAGAAAGGATATTTACATGCACGTTTAGATGAAATATAATTAAATTTAAGGGCATCTGAAATCAGTGAGAAAAATGCATGCTGCATAAGCAATCATTTTACAGAGTATGGTTTTTTGCATGCAGCCGAAAATAACTTCATTCGAAAGCCGGTATCCTTAGGTAACTGAATTATTATAGAATTATGCTGTATGATGATTAGTTTTACAACCCTACTTAAATAGTCTTTTCGAAACGTAAACGCATTTCGGAATTTCAGTTGGCATTTTATGAGTTACCCCACCTACTGTACATATTCAAACAATACATTATACTGTCCCAAAAACCTTCCAGTGTTTGGGGATATATGTAACTTAATCCGCACTCATTGATTGCACGCCTAATTGTAGGTTTGCTCACCCAAGCATAATTTATTTCGAGGCAGTCACCCGGACTTCGAAATCCGGTGGTGAAATTAAATTACAAACAAATCTGTCTGGTGCAGCTTGTATCGGGACGAAACGATAATAAACAGAACTCGATAACGCCTGAGAGCATGAAGCCTAGACTATGTGAGGCATTGACCGCAATCCTTAAAACCGTTTTGAAATAACAGAGGTCGTCTAAGTGCGATGCCAAAACTGTGTTGACTGATAGTCTCTGCGGTCATCTGAGTTAATCGGGCTTGGAAAAAATAGCTAATTGCGAAATGGGGAATTTTAATTGTTTTTTCCACGTAAATGAATTTCGTTCTACCTCCTTAAAAGTGTAAAAAGATATATATGGTTGACCGATTTTTAATTTCAAATCAGACCTATGTTCTTCCTTTTCCCGAGCCTTCAAAATGCGTGTTACATATTTTTATAAAGGAAGTTCATATTATCTCTCTACATCCCGAGGAAGATGCCTCCCGTGAGCATCAAATATTGCAATTAACTTGGATCATGTAACATACTTTGTAAGCAGTGTTAATAAAACTGTGCATACTTGGCTGCAAGATTGACCGTGTTAGAGCCTTAAAAAGTCCATAAACAAGAACTCTTAAAAGGTTACAATTATTTTTTCAAATAGGAAAGTAGAAAGAGATGTATCCTTTTATAGAACATGTTTACATTTTGAACTCCTGTTTGCCGACTCTATGAAGCATCATCTACTCTATAAGGGCTCTGAAAATCAATGAAAACGCCCACACTACTCAATTTGCGTTTTTACCCAGCAGGAATAAATTCGATGATCGGAAAGTTTCTTAATAAAAATTCAACATATTACCCATTATGCGTTCCATACTTATCAGTTTTTCAGGGTCGCATTTTACATGTTAAAATATATTTAGAGATTTCAGTCCGAGTTTCAAGAGTTTTGGATCCTGCTGCATGCCTTCATTGATGTTCGGTAGGAAAATCTGTTACGCGCAGGACCTGATGACGGTGATTAGAGTAATTTAAAGGCCGCCGAAGTAAGATGTAGCTTTGTCTTTCGTTGAAATGACTGAATGGAAGGGCATCAATGAATTTCTGTTTACTTGACATAGTAATCTTTGAGGGGAACACTGAGTTGAAAGGCCTTTAGTCGACTTACCATGACGTCACTTGCGAGACGGCTTGATAGTCCTTTTTATGTGGCATCCCGTCTGTTTGCGAAGTTCACTCAGTAAAGGAAATTTTTTATATTGTCATTGTTAAACTACACCGATCGTCCTCAGGACCTCCAGCATTGGTATGCGATGATAAATCGAGCAAAACTAATATCGGAGTGGAACAAATGACAGATTAACTCGCGGTTGATAAGCCTCACAGGAACTCAAAGTACTCTTAAAGCCTCAGTCTTCTGAAGCAGAGATGTGGTCGCTAAGCAGGTGGCGAGGGTGCCACTTCACTACGCTGACGTTTCTGCATGCCGAACACCTCAGTATAGGTCACTTTATTGACAAATACCTTTCCTCTATTCAAGTGGATGTAATCTAAAACAGGACGAAGGAATGATAAGAACTGGTTTGGAATGATGTTTGGGACAAAATATGCTTTCAACAAAGTTTACATTTCCGTCCGACAAATTATGTATAAATGGAAAGAAGAAGAAGAAAAAAAAGAAAACGAAGAAGAAGAAGAAATGATGATGATGATGATGATGATGATGATGATGATGATGATGATGATGATGATGATGATGATGATGATGATGATGATGATGATGATGATGATGATGATGATGATGATGATGATGATGATGATGATGATGATGATGATGATGATGATGATGATGATGAAGGAACGGAGTCATGATCCAAAGGCGCAGGGCAAGGACAGTTTCGACTGATAAAACTACCAAAAGAGAAAGCATCCGTTCCTTGCTTTTATTTTTTAATTTCATGATCGTGTTAATCAAGGCGACTTGGACTTCCGACCACCATAAAATCATGGCTTACAGTCGACTTTTCAGGCACTCAGATAATTTCACAGTGTGTTCCATTCTCTCCTTTGTCAAGGCTACATTTTGCTCCAGTCAGTGCGTGGGGATCGCTCTTACACTCTGCTGTTACCATTGGGCTTGCCGTTGGACGTGTTTTACCCGTCGTGTCTGCAGTCTTGGGCGAGAGTTGCATGTTACTCTGCCCCTGTTATTCGCGACTGCGTGAAAGATGTTGGGTTGTCTAATAATTCTTTGCGGTTTTCTTAGCATATTCATATAAACGAGGTTTTATATGATACCTTCGTCGTCATCGAATGTTATCAGGTGTTAAAGTTCAAAGAACGTTTCAACAACGTCTCCTTGAGCATGCAATTTACGATGGAGGAAGAATAAGGCAACCAGTTGGCCATACACGATGATCTCATCTGCTACAACTGCCAAATCAGCCACAAACGCAGTTGCGTAAGGACGCTACATCGACGTGTTTAGACGCGCTGTAGTGAACCGGAAGGCAAGATTGTCGAGTTTCAATATCTTCGACAGGTGTTCATAAAAAATTGCGATCCGCGCAACTTCATCAGTCAGTGCATGCGCAAACGAAACAAGCAAAAAAATCGCGCCGACTTCATATTTACTGACTGATTCCGCACATCAAGGACGTCTGGGAGGCCGTCAGCCGCTTTCTGGCACTAGTTGAGTTTGGAGTTGCACACAGGCCGGAGGTAATCATCAGGCGTCAGTTAATGAGACCAAAAGACCCACTGCCACGGCAAAAAGCTGCCAGAGTCATTTATGAGATCTGGTGCAGTCCTGGACAAAGCAACTACGTTAGAGATACTGGAAGAGTGTTCCGGACGCGAATTGTCAAACATGCGGCAGCAGTGCGGGGAAGTGACGTTAACTCCCACGTCGCGGTTGATTCGACGATATCCGGCCACACATGCAAGTTGAATGAGCCCGAAATTCTTGTGAGAGGTGATAATTGCGCGAGCCGGAAGTTGCTCGAGTCAAGGTTCAAATGGCCCCAGTCTATTAACAAGTTCAGTAACCTCCACCCCCATGTTCGTTGGTGAGACTTTGTCTTGCCTCTCGGGGAGTGCGCAGACGGCCGAGCGTAGCTAACAAGACCAATGGAAAGCTGGAGTCGCCGTCATTATCCGAGGTGGCTTCCTGAGGATGTTACCTTCCCTTTTAAACTTAAGCATCATTCAACAGACGCTGCAGATCAACGTCAAAACCCTGACTTCTCCAATGACACACAGGAACGACGAGAAGGACAAATTACACCAGTCTCTGTAGTTTCTTCTCGTGTCATTATCGAAGACGGACAGACTAACTATTCACAGAAAAAACGAAACACATAGTTAAACAGATCACGTCATTTGCAAGGGAAGGCTTGGTAGCATTTGAATGGCAAATACCATAACGACGAACATTTCTAAAGACCATGGTCGAACACAATCTCATCACTACCAACACAGCAGTTCACCATCCAAAATTGAGGAGGACGACGCTTAACTAGGAAGCCGAACGCCTAGACCCAGTCCTGAAGGATGAACATTCTAAGAACAAATGAGACATTCTGAGGGACATCATCTTCAACACTCCTATGAAAGTCCTCGGGTCCGCGTGTCGAAGACACCAGGGCTATTTCGGCGACAGCTATGGGGAGCTTCACCAGCTTCGCAGGAACGGCGCAAACATAACCTTTTCAAATGAGACCTACATAGTTCTCACAGTACTGACGGCGAATGCATGAGACGTTGTGAGCCGCGCAGAGTAGGTGTTCGAACCTCCAGGTGGAAGAACTTCAGGGATACATCGATCGTGATAAAGTGCAAATCTTTTTTGTAATCAGCAAACGGACTGCGTCTTCTGAGCTAACGAAACTTCGCTGCTGTTCAGTCCAGACGGACAGCACAGATCCAGGAGCGCCAGGTCGGTCGGATGTGGTTATGTAGCCC